TATAAACCATAAAGTCTGATTCATACAACAAGCTAAGCCAAAGTTTTAGCTTGGGTTTAGACCTATGGATATCACCCAGTTATAATTTGGAAGCATGATTGGTTGCTGCTTGACATTTGAACTTCCTTCAGAATGATTCTGAATGTGAGTGTGCACTGTGTGTGTTTCAACAGAGGTCTCATAAGAACAGTGACAGATGTTGCCACCAAACTCTCCTTCATTTGAACAGGATGGTAGCTCAGAGGTTCCAGGCATCAGTGCAAATGGTTATGAAATGAAGGAGGGACAATGGAAGGGACAGCAGAGAGCTGGATGAAATAATGGTGGTGATGATAGCCAATAGACCAGTGGAAATTTCCCAGAGATCATTGCCTAAAACACAAAACTTTGCACCTTTCGTAAGAATTCTCATCTCTCTTTTTGCTTTAGGAAAAAGCAAATCCGCCTCCTCGTCAAAGAAGCAAAAAGAAGAGCAAACTAGCACAAAGTCATGTGTTTAAAACAAAATTAAAAACAAACAAACAAATTGGGATCACAAATTGTATGTCATGCAGTCTACTGCTATTCTGAACATTATTTCAAGACTATTATCAGCCTACTATTCCAGCACCCATAATTTTGCATTTGCTTCCTAAGAAAACTCACCATCTCATTGTCTTCTTCATCTTTTTCATCATCTAAAAAGCGAATTGCACTGACTCTGTTTACTGCCCGTTCATTCCACGTTTCATCTGACATTTCATTTACCAAGTTCTCCAACGCACCGCACCGGGGAAGGTTATCTGTTATGACAGCAGACAAGTAGAGACAGCAGATGTGTATGTCACAGATGTTAATGTCACGGTATATTCAAGCATGGATGCCACATTTCTATTGAAAACCATTTGAAAATAACATTCAACATTCACTTGAGATGCCATGTCTATTAGATTATTTTTCATTGATTAAACCTCTCTGTGTTTAGTAACCTTTCGTTCCATGAAACTTATTTATAGTGAAATAAAAGAACCTCTTCTTTACCTGTTGATGTCTTCGATGTTATGTAATTATACCTACTATTTTCCACAACATTAGCATATTTCATCATTTATACATTTAAAATATTTCACATATGTCCATGCTGCTTGTTACAAAAGGGGACTGACTCCCCCCCCTATGCAGATGAAAACCATATTTGCTTCCCATGATCTTAAAAAATGTTTACCTTGGCAACTAGGCTCAGAAGGCATTTGAGGAAGTAAAACACATGTTAAAATTTTTTCTCCCATTTCAGGGTCTGTATCTGTCTGGAAGGTAAGCAAAGGCTGAGACTGGTTATCAGACAACCACAAAGCCTTCAGTTTCAAGCTAGTCAGTGACATGGGAAGATGTATCAACCTAGCAGAGAGAACAAGGAATTAATTTAAGATTTTTTATCCAACTATGCAGAACAAAGCAAAGCATTAAAGAAGTTTGAAGCATATTTGTTGTTTGTGCTATAAAGAAAATAACCCACTGTCTCTCTTTGGAAAGAAAAGGGAACATATTTCAAGGTCCATGTTATAATATACACAATAAAGTCCCCTGGGCAAATATGCCCCTTGCAGTGCCATAGAAATTTAGCTACATAGCGGTGCTAAAGTCTATAAGGTATCAGGTGTTCCAAGTTAAATACAGATTTACTACATTGTTCAGAATAATAAACATATTGTGTTCCCAGGAAAGAACTTGGCATTTACATACTACATTGTTTAGCACCAAACATATTTCTTTGGGTGCAGGATTTTTTTTCCTACTCCTTAATTGGCCTCCAATTCATATTTCATGCATTTTGTACATTGTTATTGTGAGAATTTGAATTGAGGAGGATATAAAGAAGTACAATTCTGTATTAAGTGGTGTTCGATTAGACCCAAACTGAATTGTTTCAAGCCAAATAACCAAAGCTTACCATATTCTTATAACAGCAGAAAATCCCACTGTCTATCCCAGTCAAAAGGCAAAGACTCCCTCAAGTCAAATTCAATTCCTGGCCACTATATGGTCATGTCAGTGAAGTTCTCTTGGCAGAAAACAGTTTTGCCTTTTTCTTCTTCTGGGATGCCCTCCTCCCCAACTTTCAAATCTCATCTAGGGCCTTGGCATTTGTAAGAAATGTCCCTCCAAGTACTAAGCAAATTCAACCATTCTTAGGTTTTCCAAACTCCATCAAGATCATCTGGACACTGCTATATTTTACCTGTTTCAATGTACAGACTTCAACATTGTTGTTGTGACAACACCTAGACCCGCTTAGCTGATGTCAAAAGCTAAATGCAGGTAGTGCAGTGATTAAAGTATTAAAGCAAACTTTGCCCAAAGCCTAGAGGTTTGATCCTGATGGGACTCAAGGTTGACTCTGCCTTCCATCATTCTGAAGTTGGTAAAATGAGAACCCAGTTTGTTGGGGGAAATATGGATCGTAAACCATCCAGAGAGTGTTATAAAGCACTACAGGGCAGTATATAAGTCTAAATCCTATTGCTAATGCTAAATGTTAAACTGATTAATACTTGGAGGTGAGAATACCATGAAATGCTAGAGTTGTTTTTTTTAATTGAAGACATTTGGTCACATGAGGTCCCTGATATTACTGAAATAGTTATGGTGAAGGGTTTTTAAAACTCCGGAATATTTTTCTTTTCCGTAAGAAAAATGTGCATCTCTTTTTAAAAGTATAATTACAACAGAACCCTTGGAAGCAGAGGTGGTATTCAGCAGGTTCTGACCAGTTCTGGAGAACCGGTAGCAGAAATTTTGAGTAGTTCGGAGAACCGGCATATGCCACCTTTGACTGGAGATTTTACAGTCTCCTTCCCCTGCCACACCCACCAAGCCACGCCCACAGAACCAGTAGTAAAAAAAAAATTGAATCCCACCACTGCTTGGAAGGTACATCAGGGAATCTCACAGGGAATTTATCTGAACAGGAAAGGTGATGGACTGAGCAGCTAAGGACCATAACTTCTTTTCCATTGGCAGTGAATAAGAGAGAGACTCACTACATCCCTAGTCTAAAACATTTCCCCGGGGACAAGATCATAACACCTCTTGTATTTTTGAGAATACAATTTTTATTACCATTCTGTGTGGCTATCCAGTGAATTTGATTCACTAGTTAACATTGCTTTGACTTAACTGGGACCAGCCTATAACACCAGATTATGAAGTATTTGCCCCCCAGCCCATCATCTCCCATAGTAAGAATATTAAGAAATCTGTCAGTTCAAATCCATGAAAACTTGCCTGTTTCCAGCTACATCAAGAACATGAAGCTCTGTGGCATGTGATATCTCCGGTGGAATCCTAGATAATTGATTGTCCCGTACTGAAAATACATTTAAGCTGCAACATCCACCAATCTGTTTTATAGAAAGAAAAGAGACTGAATTACAGTGAAGTATCACGTAAATCATGTAAACTGAGTACATACTGTAGTGAATTACTACAAATGAAGGCAGTACTTGGTAACTAGGATAATCATGTTTGTGCAACATTTCACTTAAACAGCAATCTTAGGAGACCTTAAAACAAGATCAAATTGCAGATATGGAGACGAATGGACCACATTATAATAAGTAACAAAAGGATTTAAAAACACAAATTAGGCAGTGTGGTGTAACAATTAAAGAGACTACACTAGGACTGGAAAGACTCTTAATTCTTAGTCAGGATAACTAAAAGGGGGAAATGGGCTAATCATTCTCTCTCAGCCCAGCTTATTAAATAGATGTTGTTGTTATAAGGATAAAAGGGAGGGAGATGCTTTTGTATACTGATCTGAGCTCAAGGAAAGGCAGGATATAAATCTAGCAAATAAGTAAATTGATATTATGGTTCCACTGCTTCCATTCAAGTAAGAAAAATGCTAGGTGTTAGCATCAATGTATAATATAGTTCCTGAATAAACCATTCAACTAAGTTTGGTCTGATATGAATTAAAATAATTACAATGAGGTGGTAACCTTATACCAAGGATGTCAAACTCGATTTCATTGAGGGCTGCATCAGGGTTGTGTTTGACCTGCGGGGGGCAAGTGGGCATGGCTGGGGAGGCGTAGCCAGCTCAGCATCCTGCAGCTCTCTGCCAGCAAAAACAAAGCCAGGGAAGGTCGTGTGAGGCCCGCCTGAGCTCCATTTTTGCTGGCAGAGACACTGTGGGCTGGTCCTTTGCTGTTTCCAGGGCAGCCCCGTGGGCCAGATCTAAGCACCCCATGGGCCTTGAATTTGACACCCCTGCCCTATACATTTAGTCAGAAAAAAGCTATGGAATTCAATATACTTCTAACATACTGTACATAAGACTGTACTCTAAATGTAATATTTATAGAGCTATGAGGCAATCTGGATTTAAATGGGGAAAGGTGACCTAGGAGGTGGGGGGAGCATATACCAGTTAGGAAATTTTTAAAAACCCTGATTTACGTGATACTTCACAGCAGCAGTAATTCAGTCTCTTTTCTTTCTATAAAACAGATGGCACTTAAGATGGGGTTCCCCTCTCAGTGGTTTTCAGGGTTAATATTACACATTCTGAGTTGTCTGTGAGGGTGTGGTTAGGGGAAAACATATTGTGACCATTCTACTATTTTCTAACTGGGCAATTCCAATTAGTTATTATGAAGGGGAGGCATGTGAATGTTGCTTCTCAAATTGGCAAAAGGGCTGAAAGTTATTAAAATAGGGCAGAGATGCAGACGATCCAAACTTCACAAAGGAATGAAGCATTCCTCCCTACTTAGTTCAACATGTACATGAAACCACTAGGAGAGGTCATCTACTAGCATACTATAAAGTATCACTAGCGTGTAGGTAAAATCTAGTTGAATATTTCTACTTCAAGCTGAATTGCAGTAGCAGATCTGACCAGTGCTTGGAAGTTGTAGAATTCAGGTGTGGGGGGGAGGGAACAGGCTTAAATTGAATGCAGGTAAGGTGGACTGCCTGTTAATTCAGAAGTGAGTTCGTTCCAGGACGATAACAAGCTTGCATTTGTATGTGGGGGGATGTTAGACTCACAACTGAAGAAAAGGTGGGAGCTGTTAGCAGATAGTCTTTCATCTGTTTATTATAATTGGTGCACCAGGTGTGACCTTCTCTAGAACATGAGGTATTACTTCTGTCCCTGTCTTCTCTTAGCCAGAGTACTATAATTCATGAATCTGATGAATCTGATAACAGGTCAGACCCATGATTTTCCTAATATACTTTTGTTATGGATGTTGCACCAGCTACTAGTCTGTTTCCATATACAATTCAAAGTGCTAATTCTTATTTATAAAATGCTTTATGCTTTAGTTCTAATTATCTTCAAGACCACTTTTTATGGGTAAACTCTGCCTGCTCCATAAGAATAAATAGAGGGTGACTGATGGAAGCCTCTGCCTATCCTGAAATTTAAGAGGAGGTGGCTTGGACGCTACTACATATAGATTGAAAAACATTTTTTATTTACTATGATAAATCAATGTCTTCAGCTTGAAATTTAATGTAGCTAACACCAGGCATGTTGAACTTATAACAACATAAGATCCTAATTCCACAACTGAAAATCTACAGAACGGCTTATCCCTAGTAGTCAGATTGTCCCATTTTAGAAGCTTGCTTTTTTTAAAGTGGATTTCAGAACAGAAGAAATGAAATTTGTCCCTGAGAACAAGAGGGTGTCCTAGGAATGTATTATAGTGACATAATTCAATTTGTTTGTTTCATTTGTAAGTCGATTAGGGCCAGTTAGACTAAAACAATATGGAAATCAGTGATAAGTGTCTTGACACATGTAATCTCGGTCTCCAAATCACCTTTCCCTTTTCAATCCAGCTCACTGCACTGCTCTAATCATTGTAGATTTTGTAATAATTATTCTGCCACTGTTTCATATTAAGCTCCCAAATCCCATTTTTCTCCCCATGTGTAAACGTAGATCAAATGTTAAGAAATGCATTGAAAGTGGTGCCACTTCAGTATTAAAATACAACAGACAGACATATTCACCCAAGGCAAAACATTTGCCCCTTCAGTTCACTCTGCTCACAGTGTAAGTATTTAAAACACAAAGACATACATTTCCTGCATGTTTGCCATCTGCATCATGCATTAATTGAAGATACTTCAATTGAAGATACTTCAATTAATGGATTAAGACAAATGGAGTTCTTAGACTTTTATATAATACTTAATATCCCAAATCTGCAATATAACCGCAAACAACAGAGTCTTTCTTTTTTAAAAGAGAAGGGGGGAAAATACCTCATTTACTAGGTGTGGTCTAAATTGTACCAAATCAATTTGATCTATTAATAAATCAGCAATTCTAAAGTTTTATTTTAACAAGTAATTTCTTTAGGAAATCACTGCCAAAATACAAAAATTGTGTTTATTTTAGGTTACTATGAATAGGTTGAAGAATATTTTTAATTTACTGTTTGAAATCTATGCCTCTTGTTTGAAATTTAAGATAACTAACACTATCCGTTTTGAATGGAGAACCACAACATTACCTAAATCCACAGCTGAAAATCTAATTTTAGATGGCTAGCATGCTATGACAAATGCAATCACATTTCCCCTTATAAGATGCACAATATGGATGACACTTCTATCAAATGCCCATTTTAATAGATAAAGAAATTCTACCATTATTTGCCACAAATGCCATTGGTTTAAAAAGGGACTGAACTCCTTAAAATTGGGCACAATTCTTTTATCATCAAGCCATTTTAAAGTCACCTTTAAATCGTGATTATCAAAGTAAAAATGCATTGCTATAGTTAAATCCAATGAAATCCAATTCTAAATTCCTCAATAATACCTACCTATTGAAGTTAATTTAAGTAAACCTATTTTGATCTGTTGCCTTTAAAAATGAAATTCTTTTCAATAGTCACTCTAAGCACTATACTTTTCATCAGTTTAATATTTATATAAAATGTTACCAACAAATATTTTCATATTTCCTTCCATTATGAACATGTACACTTTCCTATTTTCATGCAAGGAGTCAAGAATAGGAGCAACAGCAAGATTTTAAAAGATTTTAAAGATTTTACTTTTAAAGTCATAACTACTATTAAAAGTGAGAAACCATGCACTAAATTTCTGGAAGTGCTTTTGTCAGTTTGCAGGAGATAAAGTGCTGCAAGAAAAATATTGTACTCGTCTAACTAAAATAATCTAAAATTGATTAACTGAAATACATAAACAAACAAGTTTTTTGCACACAGTTTTCGTGGTTAGTGAATGTTAGATGATTCCTTGTTGTGCACAAGGAGTGGTTTGCTTTGAACAGCTGTGTCTCTCAGGGACATAAGCAGAATGAACCTGGCCATGCAGCCTCTTTGAAAGCATCCACTCTCTTAAACTGGGAAATTCAAGATTTGGGGGCAATGAAAGTGCAGTGGTGCAGCCAGCCAGTTTGAATCATCATGCATTGAAAGCAGTCAGATGAAGGGAGCTGGTGAAACTGTGGGCTGAACGGTACTTACAGTAACAAGAATTACCTGACTCAAATTTCCAAGCAGCTAACAATTAAGAAAAACACAAGATACAATTGTTTGATTTAACACAGAGCACTGTACTGTAAACACAGACTGCACAATGCTATTACCAAACACACACACACACACACACAATGACAAGAGAACACAGCATTTTCATTAATTTAAAGTTTTACAAAATGAAGTAAATGAAGGTGTACCTCCCCTAATGCTCTAAAGATGCCAGCCAAGTATATTTCAGTAATTCTTAAGATATTAAAAGTTAGTCTTGCCACAATTATATACCAATCCAAAATGCTACACTGTTCTCCAACTTTGGGTCACACTCGGCAAGTTCTCCAAATCATTTCTGCATGCGTTCTGCAGAGTTTCTAAGTACTTACCACTTGCTTATGGTAAGTAGTTGTTTGATACCCTTTCTTTACAAATGGATATAATAAACCGACACACAGACATGGCTTAAGGATATTTTTTTAATATTATATGAAACTTAGCTAAATAGAGCAGAACAATCACCAGATATTTAGTACCTGCATACACCTGGGGCATTCTGCACATCAGCACATTGACATAATAAAACCCTAACTGTTAAGCATGGGTGCAAATTAAAAGATACACTATTATGCAGTTCTGCCTAATTATTACTAAAGTCTCAAAAGTAAAACTTCAATATTAAACTGTAAGCCTTTGTTGTAACATATTTCACTCTCTTTTTACAAAATGAATTTTAATTTTTAATATATTTACAGAACTCTTGGCAGGACAAATACATCCCAAGTACAACAAAATTTTGATCCTGATATGCAAGAAACTTACTTGGCACTATGAGGTGAAAAGTTAGGGTTTTGAAGGTGGGCAATACAATT